GGACCGCATTGAGAGATATCTCTGGGAGAGGGCGTGGGACCTCTTCGAGTGGGTCGAGGACGATGCACACCGCAAGGCTTAATTAGTCGTCGATCGCACCCGCCTCTCCTCCTCCCTTGAGTACTTCAACCATATATCAACGGTCGCCTACCCATAAATGGAAGCCACACTCACATTGGCCTTCAAAAATGATGACGTATCCCGCATCTAGGACGCACGGGCATTCGCCGATTGACGGAAGTCGTGGCAGCCAAAATATTCATGGCCTAATGAACATATGAGTATCACGTCTATAAATCCATAGAGCGTTATTCAGCTGCATATATAGCTAATACTCCATCCAAGACAAAGCACATTTGGCTCTCGAGTGTAGGTGCACCCTATATGGGAAAATAAAAAATAAAAGTCAAAAATTTAGTCATATTGGATTTGAACTAAGTCAAACTTTATAGAGTTTGACCAAGTTTATCGAAAACAGTATAAACCTCCATAATAACAAATATAAATGGTATGAAAATATATTGAATGGTGATTCTAATGGTATTGATTTGGTATTGTGCATGTTAATAATTTTTTGTATAAACTTGGTCAAAGTTTAGAAAGTTTGGCTCGAGACAAAACTAATATGTGAAGTAAAACGGCGGGAATATGAAACTTTGGGGAACAAACTTGACCTGCTTTTGTATTCATATAAAAAGTTTCACCATGGAATGACAAAAAAAAGACTTTCATTGTATTTTGGGTGGAAAAACAAAATCAACACTGCACAAGTTACTAGTCACGCTTTTTTGTCCTGGAAAATTTGATTTTTCCCTGAAGTTGATGGGATTTTTTTTCTTAGCAAAACTTTTTATACGAGAGGTCAAGTTTCTTCCCAATTTTTTTTTCTGAATTAATAATTCTTTTTTTAGGTGCACCTTCACCCGAGAGTCAAAGCGTATTTGGTTGCACGTCTATGTCTTCCCTCACGCCTCGTGTCTCAGGTAAAAACTATTGTCACATGCATGCTCAGTCTCTTTCACCGTCTCACGCCCTGTGTCTCTCTGGTAAAAAGTTTTGTCAGATGCATGCAGCATCCTCAGTCTTCTTGAAAGCTCTCGCACATGTTGCACATGCTCGCATGATCTTTCCTTGCTTACATCAGCCACCGTGATGTCATATGTCTATCAACCCACATATTTTTGAGGTATCTTCGCTGGTTTGCTAGGTGTTCATATGGGATGCAAATCCAAGCGCTGTATTTTGAAGGACTTGTTGTGCTTCAATTTATATATCAACCCACAAATTCGGTTTCACTTTTTAACATCTAGTTTAAATCTCAATCATTATACTTAATCAAGGGATTAGATAACTTTATCTATGTTTATCAGGGTGATGGTTTGTTATCTCTTGTTTTAATAGTAATATAATACACCCTCCGTCCCAAAATAAATGTAGTTTACGACACTTATATTGGGATGCAGGGAGTCATAGATAATACTCCCTCCGTTTTATAATGTAGTATGTATAAAAAAGTTAAATTTTGTAAACTTTATATATAAAACTATGTTTGACATTGTAGACGTAAATGTTTTTCTTCACAAACTTGATCAAAATTTGTGACGTTTGACTTTTCAAAATATCTATATGAACTACATTATAGTAGAATGGAAGAAGTACGTAATACGCTGATAATATTAAAAATCACAATGTATTTGGATAAAATTCACTGTATTTTAATATATTTTATATCTAATAATTTACGCTCGGTGCACCCGGACATACCAAGGAACAATAATTTTTCATGTAGTGTACCATGCCTTATGACGATCCATCTACCAAATATGAGTTCAGGAGAATCCATAAACTCAGAGTACAGTGAAGTGCAGTACTCATATAACTGCAATTGAGGTGCCAGGGCATCTCCCACGTCAAACCTTAAACCCCCCATATTTATCCGGACGTAGTTGTTTGGACCCTGCAAGTCATCCAACACCAATCCTTATCGTCATGCATCGTAGTCCGGGCCATAATTTTCCCGCTGACCGGAACCAAGCGTGGGGGGCTTTTTGGGAGTATGGACAAGAGCCAAGTAGGACTCGAACAGCCCCGACCGACTCAAAACTGAGGCGGAGCCTACGCTTCGCACTGTTTCCGTGGCAAAATGTCCACTCTCTTCTTTTATCTCGCCGCTCCTCACCCAATTCTCGTCTTTTTGCCACTCTCTTCTCCCCTCCCACTTCCGATGCATGGATCCAGAGGAGTACCTGCTGGAGACAGAGATTGTGGAGGATCCTAGCATCATGCTCGCCCGGAAATGAGGAATCCGGCAATCAAGACGAAGCTCTCAAAGAGAATAAGGTCATGCTCAAAGAGAAGAAGGTCATGCTCGAGGAGAAGGTGGAGATCGCAGCCAACTTCGGAGGACGCGAAGATGCTCACCTTGAAGATGAAGAATTTAGATGAGGACACAAAGGATGATCGTGCAAGCCGTCCATTTCAAGATGTTGCAATGGCAGAAGGCTAAGTTGGAGGGCGGACGCAACGGAGAAGGGCAGGGGTCGCCTGAGATGGTAGCGACTGCAGATTGAGCGTGGAGGCTTGGATTGACTATTCGACAGGGCAGAAAATCCCAAAAAAATTACGGACTGACTGAATTGTATTCTTTCGTGACCGAGCAAGTAAAAATTAAGCATACTTGCCTTTTATGTGATCCAGCGCTGCTATGAGATCCGACGTGCACTTTCTCTGACAAATTTAAATTTCAAATTTAGTTTACTTGTGGATTGTATGCGGATAGCATTGGATGGCCTGCGGCATTCGTGTCCGCGGACAGTGTGCGGTGCCCAGTTTGTGGGGCAATGTTGAAGTCATGAAGACGCCCTTACACTAAAACACAGACCACACCTGAGCCCAATGTCAGATCCAGAGCTTCAATAATGGAGTTCACCAGCTGGCCATGGCAATCCCTGCTCCTGTTCAGCACCCTCTCTCTCATCTTCATCCTGCATAGCCATCGAAAAGGCAAGCAGCTCCCTCCAGGGCCGCCGGCCCTGCTGTTCCTGGTCAAGTTCTTGGCGCTCCGGCGGTCCATCTTTGACCTTCCTCAGCTCCTACGCGAGCTGCACGCGCGCCATGGCCCAGTCATCTCCGTGCGCCTATTCCGCCCGCTCGTCTTCATCTCCGACCGCCACCTCGCTCACCGTGTCCTCGTCCAGAGCGGCGCGACCTTCACCCACCGCCCGAACATCTTCCAGCCCGGGCTTCTGTTCACCTCCGGCGCCCGCAACATCAATGCAGCGCCCTACGGTCCCTACTGGCGCCTCGTCCGCCGCAACCTCGCCACCGTGATGTTGCACCCGGACCCGGCCGTGTCAGCCGTTTCGCGCCGGCGAGGCGGCGGACACGCGACGGGCTCGTCAGGGACCTCCTCGCAGTCGCAGGCTCGCGGCCCGTCACGGTGAGGCCATTGTTCCGTCGCGCCATGTTCGAGCTTATCGTGTGCATGAGCTTTGGCGCCTGGCTTGGCCCGGAGGTGCTGGACGAGATACAGGAGCTGCAGCTGTGGATTGTGCGTAGCATTCTCAGCTACCCCATCTTCTACCTCTTCCCGTCCCTCACCAAGAGGCTCTTCCGCAAGCGGTGGGCTGCGCACATGGCCGTGCGCCGGAGGCTGTGCGAGATCTTCGTCCCGCTGATCCGCGCCAGGCGGCTGCGGGACGACGACACGCCGGCGCCATGCTATGCCGACTCCCTCCTCGCGCTGCGAGTGCCCGAGGAGGGCGACCGCCCGCTGACGGACGACGAGGTGGTCAGCCTGTGCTCGGAGTTCTTGAGCGCCGGGAATGACGGCACGGCGACCGTACTGGAGTGGATCATGGCAGAGCTGGTAAACCACCCCGAAATGCAGGCGAGGGTCTACGAGGAGGTCAGGAGCAAGCCGGAGCTAAGCGAGGGCGACCTTCAGGCGCTACCGTATCTGAACGCGGTGGTGCTGGAGGCGCTGCGGCTGCATCCGCCGGTCCACTTCCTCATCCCGCACGGCGTGCAGAGCGACGGCGCGGAGATCGGCGGCTACAAGGTGCCAAAGGGCGCGGAGGTGAACGTTCTGATCGCGGAGGTGGGGCGCGACGAGACGGTGTGGACGGCCGCGCGGGAGTTCCACCCGGAGCGGTTCCTGGACGGCGGCGAGGGGTGCGACGTGGACATCACCGGGAGGAAGGAGATCAAGATGATGCCGTTCGGCGCCGGCCGCAGGATTTGCCCCGGGTACGCGCTCGGCATGCTTCACGTGGCCTACTTGGTGGCGGGCCTCGTGAGGGAGCTGGAGTGGCTGCCGACGGCGGACGGGGAGCAGGTGGAAATGACCGAGGTACTGGAGTTCACCACGGTCATGAAGCGGCCCCTCCGAGCCCGCACCATCCCAAGGAGTTGAAGACTAGTCCGCTGCCCGATCTGCTGTACTACATTTACATTTACAATCAGCAGCATCACTTAACGAGCTAGAAATTGGAATTGATTTTCCATGGATCTAATGAAATTTTTATCATGTTTGAAGTGTATTGTACTTCCGATGAATCTTTTTATAATAGATTTAATCCTTCTCGTAAAATAAAATGTACGCCTTATGTATGTACAATCAGCAGTAGCTTGAAATCTTTGCAGAGCATGTAGGCTGGTTGAGCCGGTCTCTTGAAAATGGATTCTACGTGCACGATGTTTGCTGTTACAAAAGCAAGCTGGACCTTGACACACGCGCGATGACTACGTACGCCACACCATCTGCATGACCGCGGGATATTTCTTCTTAGAAAGACACGCACGTCTTTTCGTGGAAAGACATACTGAAGTAGAATTAAAAGAAGCACAACCATTGAAATTGCCTTAGCTGCATTAAATATCTAGTATACTAAAATTTAACATTTCAATTTTTATACACTTCAACAACAATTGAACTTTGCAACTCTATGAATTTTACGATGGTCCCTGTTAGAGAATAGCCAACAGCTTCTGAAAAATCTTCCCATGTGAGTGTTTATTGGGGCTCTCTCAATTAATTTATTAGGTTTAATAGATGTGTTGTGGTAAGAGATCCCAATACAACTTCTCCTATAGTTTTTTTTAAAGAAAGTTCGAGCTTTATTCATTAGAAATAATCATTACATCGTTTACGTGGATTGGTACAATTGCATTATGTGGTTTCTCGAGCCAATCAGAAATGAAGAAAAATCTAGCCAACTTGGCAAGTTCATGAGCAACTTTATTTGCTTCTCTATTACAATGCTCGAATCTAGAAATAGGAAAATCACAAGCTAAGTAAAATCAGTCATAAAAAATTGCAACTGCTGCCTCCGACGATCGTCCTTCGTTCATGGTCTCGATCATCTCCATATTATCCGAGTTAATAATTATGCGATTACAACCCGTCCTTTGCGCAAGCGATAGGCCAAATTTTAACGCCAAAGCTTCAGCCATCAACACATCTTCACACCAGTCAATCTTACCATTTCCCCCACCGATGAACCTATCTTTGTCATCTCTTAAGACCGCCCCGACCGTACCCCTGAGAAGGTCGTGGTCAAAAAAAGCATCAACGTTAAGTTTAACAAATCCCGTCCGGGGGCTAGACCATCCTCCTCTTTTCATGGAAGCCTTCGGCGAGGAGGCATTAACAAAATTGGCAGTGAGAGCGTGTATCCCCATGGATATTTGTTGTGCATTCAGAGTAGTCTTATTGTGTATCAATTTGCGTCTTTCCCACCACAAGTACCAGGCTGATATGACAATCATGTCACGCACATTACGTGTGCCCATAATACCTAGTTCCTGATCTGGTAATGAAAGTAAATATTCCAAGATTTGCCTCACCCGCATAGTCTATTTTACAAGCTCTGTCGATAATATCGTCCATCCCTAGTCTTCTCCAGACTTCTTTTGCTCTGTCATATAGAAACAACAGATGTTTTGTGTCTTCTGGTCCAGATGAGCAGGCAGGACACTTAGGCGAGGCTTTCACATGTCTATTAGCTAAGTTAACACGACACAGAAGAGTGCCATGAAGTGTACACCAAATAAATATTTTAACCTTTACTGGACAAGCAAGTTTCCAAATCCTCGCCCAAATAGGATTGACCGTGGTACGTCCCGTCCCATTGGTATGTCGTAACTTGTTCCCATATTGGTGGTCCCATTCCACAAAATAAGCAGACCGAACCGAAAAAATCCCTTTTTTGTGAAATTCCAAGCTACGAAATCTGGCATATCATGTTGCGATATTGGGATCGCAAGGACTCGCTGAACATCAATAGGCCATAGAGTCTGTCTGAGAAGATCTTCATCCCAACTATTTAGGATTGGATCAATCAAATCTGCTACCTTCTGTAACAACTGGCCTCCCTTAGGGGTAACAATTTTACGGTTTGCACAATTTGAAATCCAGGCATCCTCCCAAATGTCAATATTCTGCCCATTTCCCACTCGCCAAATATGACCACGCTTCAGGGAGCTCACACCCGCCATAATACTTTGCCAGGTGAAGGAAGAACCCTTCTTCAGGTCAGTGTTCAACAAGTCAATGTCATGATAGTATTTGACTCTCAAAATAGTAGCACATAGAGAATCATAGCCTGACATATAAGCCCCACTTGTCAGTCTCTAATCTCTTTTGTTTTCTCTCTTACATGAATAGAAGGCACTGATGGCGGTGGTGAGGCGGGCTGGCGGCGTCAAGGTGGTTATAGCGACGAGGAGGTGGTGACGGTGTCGGTCGACGGTGAGGTGAGGTGGGCGGGGTTGGCGGTCGACGATGATACAGCCACCGACATGACGGGCAAAACGGGGCTGCATGCGACAGGGCGTGGGCGTGAAAGTGTAGGCGGTTTCCTTCCGCCGTCAATTAGACTATAGCGGAAGATGGGTATTTTTATCATCCCTTATAGGATTTTATATTAGTGGCGTGCAAGCAAATTTACACGCCACTGGTAACATGGGAATATACCTGTGGCATGCCGCCAACCAGGGTGCATCACTAATTAGTCAGTACTAATGGTATGCCAACTGCAACGAATGTCACTAGCCAGTGCCACCCAGAAACTTGCCAACCAAAGATTACTAGTGTCACACAGGGAGGTTGCACGCCACAGGTTTTTTCCTTATGAGTCGTATGTATCTAGAGCCCCACGCCAGTGATAAACATTTTAGATTCAAGAAAAGTGTGTGAACTGTTGCATATCGGCCCCAACGAGCCGACGCGTTTCGTTCGAGCCTCCTGGCGTGACGCCAGGGACGGGGATTGATGTAAGAGCATATCCAGCCGCGCCTCCAACAGGCCCCCCCCTCCCCGGCGAATTTTTAGCGCCGGTGGCCGAAAATCGGCCGAGTCGCGCCCCCAGGATCTTGTTTAGCGCCGGTTTGGGCGAAATTCAGAGCCGGCGATCCCGCCACGAACCCAAGCGGCTGGGTGTCGCCTGGGCGCGCCGGCACAAGTGAAAAGCGGCGTGGGGCCAC